AGAGAATTTACTTGTCCATGCCACTTAACTCTGATTCTACTAACAGCACTGTTCAAGCATGAGAGGGCAGCAAACCATCAGCCTATCCCCCCTTTAACAGATCTTCTCTTTCCTCTCCAGTAGACATTCTTTTTCCTTCCGTTTCGAGTCTGAGATATCTAAAACTTTCTGATATCGTACACTAAACTGTCAATCCATGTTAAGCTACAGTCCCATATACGTCCCGGACCGTCCCGGACCATCCCGGACCCCATCCGGGGTGATCCGGGATTCGGTCCGTGTTGACACCGTGTTGGCACCGGGGTGGTCCTGGATGGTCCTGGATGGTCCTGGATGGTCCTGGATGGTCCTGGGCGGTCCGGGAGTCGACCCCGGATGTTTTTGACGGTCAAAAACTGCCGGGGTGGTCCGGGACGGTCCGGGACAATAGTTTGATCCGGGGTGATCCGTGTAGCCACCGTGCTGGGTCCGGGGTCATCCGTAGTGGCGCCGGGGCGGTCCGTGTTGATCCGTGGCAGTCCGGGAGTGAGTTATTGACCGCCCAGGACCATCCAGGACCATCCAGGACCACCCCGGTGCCAACACGGTGTCAACACGGACCGAATCCCGGATCACCCCGGATGGGGTCCGGGATGGTCCGGGACGGTCCGGGACATATATGGGACTGTAGCTTAAAAGCATCACACTTTTTTTTAACAAAACATCCCGGACCATCCCGGATCACCCCAGACCATGGTCCGGGATGGTCCGGAGTGGTCCGTGCTCGTCCGTGCTGATCCGGCTTTATATGGGACTGGGGCTTTAGAAGCTGGTGAGCTATGGCATTATATTGATAATGGAACAACCGATAGGCGTATCATTTGGAGCATGACCTACATGTACATTAAATGTACAGTGATGAACAAATACATTAACTGGCAGTATGCCTCAAGATAAAATGAATGTGAACATTACAATTCTTACATTTTATTTTTAATTTATACACCAAATGTGGCCCAATTTAGATCTGAAAATGACACAAAAAGTACAAAAATAAAAACATCTCAGAGTCTTATACCTCATATACAAAAAGGAAAGATATTTTTCATTTCCCGGGAATACAAAATGAAAGCTTTGAGAAATCAGAAATTCAGGAAGAAGAAATGAATTTCGGAAAGGGTTATCAGTGGTAAAAACTCTGTAGTAATTTATTTATAATTATATATGATTCTAGATTGGAACCAAAGCATGATTGCAAACTCTTATGGGGCATTGCAAGAAAGTTGCGATTGATTGCAAGTTGCAATTGATATTTGCAATCGATGGTAACTCAACTTTTTTGCAACGCCCCACTAGTCTCCTAAATTTCCTAGGATTTTGGTAGGTTTAAAGTTTTAACAATTAAATTAAGTTAAAATCCACATGCATAATTGCCTGTTGTTATAATGGATGAATAAATGACTAAAGGCTTCCAAGAATTACCACAAATATCAGAATAATCCATAAACTATTGTATTCTAGTTTGTGGAATCCTGGTTAAAAACAAGGTTTAGGTGAACAAGAGAATTTATACCAAATTCACCACAGTATTGTGCAAGCAGTGAAGTCAGGATAGATGTATACTGCCATCTATGGCCAATACATTACAGTTTTATATCTTTTCTACTTTTTTTTAATGCTGAAAATAATGTTTGACAAAATCACACAGCACATGTCCCAGTAGACCCACAAGAAAAGGAAAACAAATCTGGTTTGAGTAATCTCCTGACAGCAACTTGAGCAAGGGTTGCAGAAAAAGTTGGGTTCTGAATCTGGCCATGCAATTACAGTACATACTGTAGTCGAAGAAGCTGTCTGGAAGCAACTGGAAACGATTGATTATGTTCATGTACATGTATTACATGAAAAATAATTTATGTATTGTTCAGGAATAATCACTATGAAAACTAGTTGACTCAATATTGCTCAAGATCACACGCACCGTACACAGAAATGATTGGTCCAAACTTTTCAGTCTCTACTTTCCAGAAATACAAATGTGGGGGCATTCTATGAGCAATATCCATTTTAGGAGACATTTCTTCCACGATTAAAACAAAGTCTAAACTGACATAATCAGAAAGCTCACGACATATTTGTCAGCTACCAGAACTCAACCTTCTCTTTCACTTGTTCCAGTGATAAATTTTTAGCAAATCCCAAGGATTCAAATTGAAGCTTACAATAGTAGATGTACATGCAACCTGAAAAGTGAATCTTCCCATCTGGCTAGCTTGCTAGAATTGGGTTTCCCACCTTAAACTTGTCAAAATGAACCTGGGCCCCATTTCACAAAACTTGTCATCAGTGACAAATGACAGGTTTTGTTATACCGGTACGCTAGTGAAATTCTTGCTTTTGATTGGTTATCAGCAGATTGTCACTCATTTTTGTCATTTGTCATTGAAAAAAGGGCTTTGTGAATGGAGCCCAGTTCACTACCAATTTTGTTCATGAATTTAAGCTACCGACTACTGAGTTCTCTCTTTCCCATATGACTTAATACATCCGTGATTTGGTTCCAGTATTCAATGGATTAACCGTTTACAGAAAACAGTCATCACCAAATAAGTTGTTGAAAAAAGACAGAATATGAGAAACAGGTTTTCAGAGGAAAATCAGACAACCGAAGAATAAAATTAGCATTGAATGGAGACATGAGGCTATGGTGTCATTCATCAATTGTGGTGTATGATTGTAATAATATCCTAACTTTTCCATTGGTTTGTGCCTTTGGCCAAGATAAATTGAGCCTGGATAACATGGTATTGTATGTATCCACCAATATTAATTAAATCAGGCGCCAGTGCACTTTCGCTAGAGGCATGCTTCGTTCCTTCACATGCAAGATTTGTGTGAAGTTAATGCCCATTGAGTGGGAATGAGAAAAACCAATGAAAGTGGCGCACTTGGCGTTTGACAGGCTGTGTGAAAGCACACTTGTCACTAGCCCAAAATATAATCCAAAATATAAATGTTCATGTTTCCTCTCTTTAACCTGCTTAGGCATGTTCTCTGCTGGACCAATGTCTGCTAATACACCCCAAAACTACTGACAAGGCCTATTAATATTCTCATCTTCATCATATTTAAGGTACAAACTACCAAGTTGTACTGAAATGTTGGTTGATTTTTATATTTTATGTGTGTACCTACAGTATGCTGTCTTGCTGAGTCAGTGAGTGTGCGTCAGTTAATTATGTGTGAAGTGCGTCGCCCGTTTAAAGCACGACATGATTTACGTATTGGCATTGTCAGCTTTGCGCTCTTTATTAAGTGAGCCTTGAGTGAGCCCTCTCTCAATTAAATTCAGAGATCTCTCTCACTTAAATTTGAAGCCGCTCGAGCGGCTCAACCAAAGGGAGAGCATAAACTAATTGCACAGCGCTCAATGCGGAAAGTTCAGCGCTAGTGTAGTTCCATATCCATTTTTTTTTGCAGTTTAATATCCATTCTTAGCAAAGGAATTTTAGCCCAATTTTTAACTCATTTTAATCATAATCATATATTGCATTTTCCACCTGAATTTGGATCACAATCGACATCTGGAAACCTTCGTTTAGGGCTTAGATGTCGACGTCGTCGCTCAGTACCGTCTCAACACTGTAGTCATGCACCTCAAACTAAAGCTATCCGTACAAAATTATGCAGACTTCTCGTATGGTTTATGGTATCGCGCATAAGAGAAGTCTGCATAATTTTGGACTGATAGCTTCAGTTTGAGGTGCAGGACTACAGCGTAGAGATGGTACTGAGCGACGATGTCGACTTCGAAGCCCTAAACGAAGGTTTCCCGATGTCGGATGTGATCCAAATTCAGGTGGAAAATGCAATATATGATTACGATTTAAATTAGTTAAAAATTGGGCTAAAATTCATTTGTTAAGAATGGATATTAAACTGCTAAAAAAATGGATACGGAACTAAACTACAAACTAGCGCCGAAAGTTCTAGAGTAAAGGAGCCCGTTTTCGGCCACTTAAGACAAAATCCTATTTTTAGGACTCTTTACTTCCTATTTATTATCATTTCTTGTTCAAATCATGAAGCAAATATTATTATTATTTAAACAAAAAAAGAATCCCAGAAAAAAATCACGAATTGCCATGACAATATTCATTTCAATTTTCACTGTTTTGGAGCCGGTTATCGGCCGAGCGTTTCAGTTTACGGCCGCATGTACAAAGTCAATAGGAAGCGCTCGCGCGCGCCGTGCGTTTCCGCGCTGATGTACAGCACAAGCGGGCGGAGCAGGTATCCCACGCCTGAGCTCCCTGGTGCTCGCCTGGCCGAAGACAGGCACAGCGGTGATCGGAAGTTGGAATCTGAATTAGACAGAGATATCGTGTGTGCGTCGCGGTGTGCGGCTGCATTGATTTAATACATGCGATGAGATACTTTTGAGCTTGCGACCAGCACAAAATCGGGCTCTAAATCTGAAAAATACTTGAAATAAAGCTCATTTTATGGTACCCATATTTCTTACAGACACGCGTAAGATACTCGATTTTTCAGATTCGGGTAGCGGGACCGGCGATTACATCGCTAAAATGTGATATTTTAGGATATATTTTTCATTGCAAATGTGGTTCTTCAGTGACACTGGCATGGTATGGTATGTGTGGGATATGTGTTACGCTATTATGCGATGTATTTTAGAGTGATTTTACCTTGCATCCAACCAATCGGCCGAAAACGGGAGCTGGCCGATTACGGGCTCCTTTAGTACTCTACATGCTGAATAATCATCCTAGATTTCTAGATTCTACTCAAGTTTTTCACTTTAGATCTGAATCAAATGTATGTTATGGTATGGTACTCTTTAATCCAATGATATCTTGCAGTAATCACATTTACATCAAGAGTCAGAAAAATCAACGGGACAGTAATAAATTGAACTTCATAGTTTCCCTTTAAACGTTGATTTGAACTGACACAGATAGCGATATGTGGGGACACGTTATGTCAAAAACAATACCCACCACTATGTCTGACAATGACTGGTCGATTCTCGGATTTATCCCCGGCATTTTCCGCTCTATTTTTTCCACCTGCACCGAATCCACTGGTTTCCTTTCACTGTCGGAATCATCTTCGGAGTCACTCTCCAGGAGAAATACTTCTTCCTTGTCATCTTGGCTTTCTAAGTCGCTGTCGTTCACAGGAGACACAACATCGTCTCGGGATTTCGTCTCCTGGTCCGCCATGATTACAATCAATCAAAATTCTAATTCCGCGAACATGCGCGAGGCGCGAGCGATCGAGAGCAAAGATCGGCGCTCGCTGCATGCCCGATCGAGCTAGCTATAGCAAGCTCGCGAATTTCTAAAAAGGTTAAAAAAAATTCACCTAATTGATAGGAAATTTAATTGCAGATGAAAGCATTCCTACATGTATAATAATAAGATCTACTTTTGTTGGTTTTATATGATTTCCTTTGGGTTATGGTTCATTTTTTTAATATCCTTGGTGAGTCAGATTTGACATGCAATGCAAAAAACTTTCGACCAATCACCGTGTGATCTTTTTTTGAAAGTTTTTGTCAAATACAAGTGCGTCAGGAGGCAGGGGAGGATCCAGGATTTTGCAGGGGGGGGGGGGCGTGAAATGTACGAAATTGCGAGCACGAAGCCTTTACGGCGTGGGGTACGGGAACATTTTGAACCTTAAAATGCTCTGTGGTACATTCTGCATTTCTGAATGCTATTATGTTTATATCTCTCTATATTTTTAACTTGTTTGTAAATTGAACATTTTCATCCTGCGAGCTGCTTGTTTGATGTGATTTTTCAATAAACCAAACCAAATACCAAACACAAAATATATATTTCTTAGCTTTTTCCCTGCAATTTTGGATCCGTCCCTGAGAGGTGAAGGGGTAAAATGGGGTACGGTCTTATGGTAGTGTTTGAAAACTATTACATTCCAAGATCCATGGAGATGTACAATTAAATATAATTTGAAAGTTCGAGTGAAAACAGATCATTATTGACGATAACAATTGGAGAAAACTGATCTGATCGATTCCTTAATTCTCTCAACTATATTATTACAATTTAATTACATTTTAGGTGAATGTAAATCGTTACATAATTATAGCAATGAATGAAAAGTTTTTTTTTTTTTTTTTAAAGCCTGTCGTATGTCTTATTTTCATGGAAAACGGTTGGGAAAATTAAAAATGGTTGGGAGAATTAACTGTTAAAGGATGTCGCACAGTGACGCCTTCAAAGAAAACCATGAATATCTTTGTGGTTTGAGAATTGTTTGCATGTTAGTAGAGTAGAAGCCTAGAAGAAATATAATAAGTAACATTTCATACAATTTTTTTTCATAAACCTTCAACAATGTTACCGAGTCACTTTAAAGGGGATGGCTAGGACGGCGGACCGATGCCCCCTTCTGATGCCCACATTTTTAAAATTTTAAATTCTTTAATATTTATTTTTTTTAAGGGGGGGGGGAGATTTGGTAAATGATAAGAAAAAATAGGGGGACCAAAGTGACATCGTTTTCTTTTTAATGAATATGGGGTAAGGAGACAGCGCACTAAGAAGGGGAATGAGGAGAAGAAAGAAACTATTTATGAAAAGGGGGGAAAGAAAAGAACAAGATGAAAAGGAGGAAAGAAGAATGGAGATGGAGAGAGAGACAGAGATTATAGAGAAAGACTGACAGAGAGAGAGAAAATAGAGTGATAGCATAACCACCAAACTATATTGTTACAATATGCTACGTTTTAATAATTTATAAAAACCCGCTTTACGTTATGGAAAAGTATAAATTTGAGTTAAAAGATAGATGATGTCTATTAAAATACTCTACTGTTTCGCTTCAGTATCTGCCTCATATACTGCCATGAGAGGCTCTGGTTAAAACTATATCGGCCGAAGGTAACCTGCAATAGTGCTATTTTGCTGAGGTGCATAGCCCCGAAGTAAAATAGCACTATACACCAGTTTACAGTTGTATCAGTGCGCATGCGCAGACAGAGGTCAAAGGTTATTGGCCCAAAAATTGGGGCCAATAACCTCTGACCTCTGGTATTTATGCGTAAATTAAGATTGCGCCCATGCAAATGATGATATGCGCGCACAACGCAGCGCGCAGGCAGTGATATCATCATAATTTGCATGGGCGCAATCTTAATTTACGCATAAATACATGACCTCTAGGTCATTGGCCTTGTTTAAAATGGCGCACACAACTGTAAACTGGTGTATTGCACTCACCGAGGGACCATTATAGTTTTAATTTAATCCAGAGACTCGAATAAAGGCATATTTGTTTTAAATAGTTCATTCATATATTCATTGTTCTTGGATCTTGGATTCTTTTCCTCCTAAATACTCCGAAGAAGAGTTTTGACTGGAGGTGATGGAGGGTGGACGATTACATTTTGGAAGATGTTTAAAGATTTTGCTGTAAAAGTTAAAGAATTCAAACTTACCCGCTGTAGCCATTCATGTCGCCTTGTCATTTCGTGCTTGAACAGTCCAAAAAGTTCAAATTAAACAATAATCATCTGGTAAGTTCCAATCTTCAGCAGTTAAAAGATAAATATTCCAACAATATAACACTTAACAGTATTAACATTAAAAATTCCAAATTGGTTTCAACAGTTTCATAAATCCTTCACACTTACACATGCGCACACTCATAAGTTGCGCATAACATGTCTGCGCGAAGGGTCAAATCACGCGGCCGACATTACCCAACCGTAAATAAATAGTCAAAGGAAAATGGGAACTTGTCGAAGGAAAAGGGGCACGTGTGAAAATAAAAGGGGCACTTATCAGAGGTGAAAAGGGGAAGGGGCACTTTTACAAATTAATAGGGGCACTTTTCAAAGTAAAAGTGGCACTATTCCTATGTTAAAAGGGGCACTTCTTACAAAATTAAAGGGGCACTTTTCTTATGTAAAAAGGGGCACTTTTCGGGTGCATTTTGCCCCCTCTGCCCCCCCCCCCCCCTCTGTGTGTGACACACTTGTAACCAATCAGTGATTATATGAATGACGTATATAACGCTTACCAATCAGTCGGCACATTCCATATTTTTCTTTTTTGAATAATTACCGCCCCATTTCAATATTACCTATCGTGAGTAAAATTATAGAAAGGGCCGTCCACCAACAACTCAGTGAATTCTTGGACGTGAATCAATTATTACACCCTAATCATTCTGGATTTAGACCTAAACATTCAACAGCTACTGCCCTTGCAAAACTTGTAAATCATTGGTCGTTGAATATTGATAACAAAGAAATTTCTGGAGTTGCCTTCATAGATCTTCGTAAGGCTTTTGATACTGTTGACCATGAGCTACTTCTACATAAACTAGCTTGTATAGGTTGTAGTAATATAGACTATTTATGGTTCAAATCATATTTAGGGGATCGACAACAAGTGACCCAATTCAAAGGAGCCAAGTCGCATCCATCAACCATTAAATTAGGTGTGCCACAAGGTTCAATTCTTGGTCCCCTTTTATTTTCAATATATGTTAATAGTCTACCTGAATGTACTCCTGAAGGTATCACAAATATGTATGCTGACGATACGACACTTACCGTCAGTGCAAATGATGCAACTGTTGTGGAAAAAAAAATTCACTGTTGCGTTAAACAGAGTCATGGCATGGATTAACGAAAATCGTCTTGTTCTTAACACTCAAAAAACTTGTGTCATGTTAATAGGCTCTCCTGCTAATCTCAAGAAAATTGAATCTTTCAACATTTCATTAAACGGCAATTTGATCAAAAGAGTTCAATTCACCAAATGCTTAGGACTTTTAATAGATGAAGAATTAAAATGGTCTAAACAAATCGAAAACATAAGTAAACTTACCCAGAAAAACATTAGCATGATAAAGAGAGCAAAGAGTTTTTTGCCTCAAAAATCCTTAACGTTACTTTATAACAGTCTAGTGTTGCCACGATTAGATTACTGCTCTGTTGAATGGTCGAACCGATTTCATTCTCATACAACTAAGCTGCAAAAAATTCAAAAGAGGGCCGCAATAATAATATTGAACAAGACATATGACACACCGTCGGCTGATTTGTTCACAAGTCTTAAATGGATGACAAGCGGTTTGAGTTAAGTCACGTTATGATGATATATAAATGCGTTCATAACTTAGCACCCCGGCCCCCCACTCAGTGTTATTTAGGGTACGCATATGCTCGTACCCTATTTTTGAAAGCACCCCCTATCTGAGGAGTGCCAACATTTCCGAACCCCCCTTTCGCGGGCTTTTCGCGGGCTTTTCCTGCCTTGGAGACCCCCCTAAATCAGGAAAAATGCTCATTTTACCCCCCTAAATTCGGAATAATTTCTCAGGTGTCCAAAGAGATGAGAGAAAAAAAGAAAAACACCCCCTTTTTAAAGATATCTCCAGGTGAAAAGTCAAATACACCCCTTTTTTTACAATTCTCGGGCCGGACTTTGTCGCACGAAAAGTACCCCTTTACCGGACATTTTGGCAACACGCATGCGGTCATTCCGACCTTTGAGTGGGGGGGCCGGGCTTAGCACCTTCTTACCTTCAGGTAGGCTTAATCAATCCTAATGATGTACATGAGCATCATACAAGGCAAATAGACAGTGGATGTTTACGTGTGCCTAGATTTCACACTGATTGTTATAAGTGTAGCCCAATTGTTTCTTCCATATTTGAATGGAATAAGCTAGATAATTCATTGAGAACGGCTTCCTCTGTCAATTCATTTAAGAGATTGTTTAATCAAAGTTTGTAATTTGCGAATGGCTCAGCCGTACATACACTACGTGCATGTTCTGTAATATTTATATGACTTCTTCACATAATTGAGACTTAATTAATATTTTCCTATTGGCATTACTGTTTACTAGGTTAATGATTATGTTTATTTTGCAAACGAGTATTATTTTTGTAACTGTTATGTATAAATGTTATAAACGATGTAAATATGTTCATTCAGGGCCCCATGGAAGACCACTACTTGTTGGTGAATGAGCTACCCTGTCAAAAGATTAGAAATAAATAAATAAATAAATAAATAAATAAATAAATAAATAAACATCATAAAACATCACCCCTAATAAACTGACTCGTTTTCTCGGGGCAATTGTGCTCTCTGGTGTGAACACGTGGGGGGGGGGGGGGGTATCTCACTGAGCGGCGAATGCTTGAACGGTTGCGATTTTGGATTCGCCAATTTTCTGACGAATGTTGGCGACTATCAGGGTTCGCCTCTGCGACATTTAGCGACTTTTAGCGATGTTTTACGACAATTAGCAACAAAGTTGAGCGAATGTTGGCGAAAGTGTTTGCGAAAGGCAGTTGGCGACTACTAGCGACTGTAAGCAAATGTTAGCGACAGTCTTTGCGAAGATGAGCAACTATTTGCCAATCCTATTTTGTAATGGTTGGGACCTTATATGCTAGCAAACAGAGTTGACAAAATCTCCGTTTCGTTGACGATCAGCCATGCACAAAGAAGACGCCGAAAGACTTGATGCATGGCTGGTCGTCAACGACATGGAGTTAAGTCTTTTGTCAACGCTGTTTGTTGCTACGGCAGGCAGCTAGTGAAAACGAATTCGATTGAGATGTCATAATTATGAAAGGGCAGATAATGAACTTTCTAGAAATGTAATATTCTCTTTGAAATTCAGATACCGCCCGCCAAATGACTTTTTGGTAACCTCTCTTCAAATTGTTTTAATCACTCATGCGTGAAATATGCATCATATGAGTTGCATCAAACGAAAGAGGGGATCTAAGCTTTACAAATATGTGTCAATTATTAAATATAATTGTGATTGAGGTATAATATAATGGAACATCGATGATTCTCGGTTTCTTTTTTTCTGGGACGCACTGTACATATAAACATGGACCTCTCTTTTAGGTTAATGATACAATGAATTTTCCTTCTTTAGAATTCCTTTTAATAACGGGAAATTAAAATATCAATGTGCACAATGGCCGAGCACTGCGAGCGATGAACCGATTTGATACTCCAAACCCCTGATGTCATCATTCAGGATCGAGGACATCAGTTATTCGAATTTATTCGATCAATTTAAAGTCTTTTTTACTATTCGTTTTCTCTCAATGATGCGAATGTCAATGACCGAAGGGAGGGCATCAATTCCCTTCTCATCTGGACAAACAAAACGAACATTGATTTTCATACGCCACAATAATCACAAGGAAGCTAAAAAATACAACATGCCATGGTGAGTGCATTGACATTCAATATACTTTATTCAATAAACAATGCAGAGAACGCAGAGTCGAATTCATTTGAATGTATGGTTCATGATTATGCTTGATTTTCACATGATCTATAAAACAGTAACACGACTGCCCCTCCATATTTTGCAGATTGTTCCTCCATCAACGTATGTACTCATCATGTTCCTATGATGTACCAATCGTGTACTCCCCTTTGGCCCTTTCCCCCAAGTCTTGGCCCTCCTGGCTAACTCATTCATGCACCCCCACCCCAGTCCCCCTCGAGCTCCATGTTTTGCTAGGTAGTAAAAGCTTTTGTAAAGGCACCACTGTAATGTGGACGACATCCATTACGCCGACGCGACATTCTTTGATTCATCTGTCGATTTCTGTGTGGCCTTTGGTTGGCTTGGTTTCCTGCTGCTCTTGGTCCGGCTCTGCTGGGCTTCTAGCCTCTGCAGTCTGCGGGTGACCTTCCTCTTAACCTGCTCCAAAGTGAGAGGTTGATCGCTTGTATTCAGTACCTCGGCAGAGGAAGAACACTCGACCGTGTCCACCTCATCTCTGTTGAAATAAAAAGAAATAAAATTGATCATGTTATCAGATTAAACATTGGCGTAGAATGATCCCGGCGGCCACTGAGGGGCCTCTGGAATCATGGGGGGGGGGGGGGGGGGGGGGAGGGCACCGGCCCGATACCTGGAAAATTAAACACATTTAAAAGGCCATATAGGTGAGAGGGGAGGGCACCGGATGGGGCTCTATCGTCTTAATTTCCCGTCATTTTCCCATTCTCTTATCTCGTTATCACCTTTTTCGTTCCTTTCAATTGGGGCCACACCACTGAAATTAAGAGTCCATTTCATGGATAAAGAAGTTTTTCAGGTTATACTTTCCCAACTTCCCAAACTAGAAGATACGCTCGGGGGGGGGGGGGGGGGGGGTTAGATGTAGTTGTTAAGTATTATTAGAATTGACAAATTAACTTTGTTGTGCCTGGTCGGGATATCCAGGGAGGGGGCGGATCCTGGTTGGTCTGTTATCTATATGTTGCTGAAATGACATGATATTCCGGGGTAATTTTCTCACTTTTTTGTAAATCATTCTTGTTTATGATACCGGATTTTGTTTGCCCCCCAAAAGATTTTGCTCATTACGCCACTGCCTGCTGTGTTCACTTACATATCTTTAAGGCCAAGTTCTATCATTGTCGACAATCTATTATTATGGTATTCGTTGTTATTCTTTGTTGAGTACAGGGAATCGGATGTGAATTTACAGAAATAATTATGATCCATGCATGTACCTGATTGTAGGTGGGTTAATGGTGACCTCAACAGTCTGAACGGGTTCACGCCTCGGCATGATCACACTCCCAGCAGCCTTAGGACCATCTTGATTACCACCCGGTTTATCGTCAGGTTTAGGCATGGTGGATATCTGTGAAATCAAAGCGAAAGTATAAACCGTATATGCCTAGAAGTATACAAACATAGATTTTTTAGAAATTCTTTTCAATATCTTTTCACGTCGAGATGTTTTAATACTAATACCTAAACTTCTTTTTCTTTCTATCATCGTTTAATGTAGACCCACAGAAGTTGAGGTTTTCCACATCATTATACGAGCTGTGAAGTTCCCCTGATATTGCCTTTTACTGTTTGCTGATTTAATTGTCCTACTACCGATGCGCACTTCTGTTGCTTCGGTTGCACATAATTTAATCATATAAGTACTATTTTTGTTTAAAAAAATAAGTAAAGTAAAGTCTATCAACTGAATGGACCACACTAGAATTATGACATGTAATTTGAAATCTTGTATGACAATCCCACAGTCTGTAGCATACGATTTGTCTTATTTTCGAAATTCTTAATATTGTAATGATTAAAATAAAAATAAATCAACATGCCTTATGTTCTCTGCATTTTTCGATTAGCAGCAAATGATTCATAGTCTGTTCAATCAGACCCAGATAGGCCATGGCATCGAACGCTGTTATGCCGTCTCGGCTTCCTAGCCGACTGGCGACTTGCGATTGGTCGCAGCCCAGTTTTCGGACAATGCTCGCAACTGCAGACATCAGGTGGTGAAGGCGCTTACGAACTTTCTTGACGTTCCCTTCCAGACCGTTAGCCGTCTTGGTGACAGAATTAGCCTTCTCCTGACCCAAAAGGAAATTGATATAAAAATGCAAGTAATATGACTGAGTTGATAGAAAAACCGTAAGCATACATTTCTTAGTACGTGAAAATTCGTTTGAAATAATGACAAATCTACAAAATGCCATAATCATGATTGTATTGGGGGATCGGCCATAATCATGATGCGATAAAAGCCAGTTGAGTAAGGGGAGTGGGTCTTCTTTTCATGTTGCATTTTCCATGTCCCTTTCTTTCTCTCTCTTTCCGATTCGATTGGAAGAGGGGAGGGGTCACGGTGTTAGCAACGTTACTGTGTCTCACTACTCGATATAATACAGTCAAACCTGTCTATAGCGACCACCCAAGAGAAACACAAAAAGTGGTCTTTGTAGACAGGTTCCTTTAGTACAGTCATGATTCAATGAGAAACCATTTTCAAGGGAAACAAAAAATGTGGCCTTTGTAGACAGGTGGTCTTTGTAGACAGGTGGTCACTAAAGCAGGTTTGACTGTATGAACATATTCTTGTTTAGCGTTTTTACTCACTCACAAAAAAGACCTATAAGACCCTAAAGCCAAAATTTGTCACCTCACCTCCAATCGCTTCACCATGTTGAGCCTTTCTCCCACCAACGTCATACCGTGGCTCTTAAATTTCTTCCTAAAATTCTCGGTGTTCTTGATCTGCTCTTGAAGAAGCTCGATGTCGTCGTTGACTTCGTTGATGTAATTGAAGAGAGCGAAATTGAGTCCCTCTCGGTAGATGAATTGACGGACGAGTTTGTCGAGGTCTGCTTCGCCCGTAGCCGCTCGGAGCCGAATAAAAGACAGCTCCAGGGTGCATATATTCGCCTCGTCTGGGTCAACATGCCCATGCGCTGGGGAGACAAAAGGAACATTATTAGACGTAAGTCTTAAGGTTTATTGTTTTAAAAGACTTCTTATTAATAATGAAAACTCTTTTTACCTCGGCACATCATTAGAGATAGAAGTAGATGGAATTTGTTCGCCAACTGCAGCGTATTTAAATGGGGACAGAAACTGGCAGTGGAACTTGAAGAAGGTGAAAACACCACAAAATAGAGAGGATAAATTAAGGGAATAAGAAGAAAACAATTTTCTCAAATTTAAACTCTAATTCGGGGATAAATGTAGAGGAATAGTGGTTTTAAAACAGTTTCCAAATGCTCCGGCGCTGCGCTCCCTCATAAATTTTCCTTCAGGATCTTGTAATTTTTCTTTATATTCATTATAAAATGATAGTTAATCCTTAGTTTTACAAATGAGTTTAACATTCGAAAAATAGCATGTTTGTACCAGTAATCAAAATATGGTTGGTGGTATACAAAATATTTGTAATTATAACAATTTTGTCTATTTTTCCCTTGTGTGTAATTGGATTTTTACAGACGTGTATCAATCAATCAGATTATGATTATTTACGTCTGAGGACCGACCTTTAACGTCACCATCCGAAGACGTTCCTAAACGTATTCATCTTTTAAAAAGAAACCACAAGAGCATGTTCGTTACAGAATGACTATCTTACTCTGTTTTCTTCTTTGAAGCTCTTTATTCGTAGCCTTGAGATGTTCAGCCCTATCCTGGGCCTTGACGTTCTTGAACGCTTTCAGCTTCTTCTCATGATCCACAATTCTCTGAAGAGATTTGATCTCGACGTTGAATATATTCTGTTCCTTTTCGTTCCTCTCACGGAGAGCATCCATTTTGTTTTGAGCTTCGTCTCTGCATGGACGTTTCCAAACGAAGAGAAATTGATTAAGACGTGATCAGCATTGGACCAAGACTTTAACTATTTAAAATCGGGCATTAAGGGCTTCGCTTGTGTTTGATGTTCGAAGTTGCATCTTATTCAACACAAATCCTAATAAACTATAGAAATCGCAAGTTAAATTCGTTATTTCTAGTTATACATAATATTATAGTGATTTTGTATCTATCGCTCAGTGCATATTTTCTTCCTATAAAAATACTTTTTTTCGTGGCCATCGAACGCTCTTAATTAAGCTACGATTGCGATTAGAAATTGAGAAGTAAATTTTCATATGATTTTAGACATGAGAGTACATAAATTGATGTTTCACTGTACTGAGATCAAATCAGTCATTTCAAACATTTTTAATTTTTACTGAAGCCTTTTTTTTTTTAAATAGTTGCGTTGACGTTTCATTGCAGCGAATTTTACCTTTTTTCTTATTGTGTAAAATTTTTTACCAAAGCTTTTTTCAATATACCAGTACTCTTTTGGAGTTTCCCAGGTCTGAATAATTAATTGCTCGACGCTCTGGAGAGCGTTTCTTGAAACAATTAGTAGGTGGTTTTCACCGACTAATATCATGTTCACCGACAATTCTTTTGTCACCGACTATTTTTCAGGCCTGTAATTGGTCAAATTTAGTCAGCGCTGACTAAATTGTTGGTGAACATGATATTAGTCGGACTAATTGTTTCATGATTGTTTCATTACTACGGACTACGGATGAAGGTGTTTCTGATGTTACCCTGAATCGTATGCCGAGGTAGATTGCTGGATGATGTCATTCATCTCGACCTTGAGGTCACTCTGTTCAGAGCACATCTTCCGGTAGAGACCGTCGTAGGACCTCCCTTCCCGTTTCAGCTCCTCGATCCTGTCTCGTAGATCGCTGTTCTTACGGAGCGCCTTGTTGAAGGTAACTGTGGACTAATTTATACAAAGTCTGTTGAGTCTCACCATGCAATCACTAACTATTATTACTCAGAAACTCGCCAATTATCTGTACACAGCAATCTATCTGATTGTCTTTCATTCTTTGCTATTAAAGATATTTCTGTCCAGCCACATGCAGAGAAAAAACAAACTCCAGTGAAACGGAGTCAAGCTACTTAGCAAATTTTTCGGTGCATATTATTTTGTAAGATATCAACTTTAAAGACTTTCTCCTCTTACTTAAATTATCTTTTTCTCGTGGCAATTCCTATTCGTTCAACAATGTGCTTGCTAAATAACGGGCATATTAACAATTTGCAGATTTATATTCCCCCCCCCGAGATAAAGCGTCTGATCTACGTTATAGACGAGACCCCGATCCTATTATCCAGCTTCCATCTCCTTCAAGCGAGCAGGGAATTATCCTGATTCACCTGACCTGGGTCTAGAGTGGGAAATGCATATTGATGCCTTGCCAAGGGAAATTTGTATGCGGCTAGCTAGCTTACCCGGTAGAGTCTGTTTTCCATAACTCTGGTTCGCTTGGGAGCATTAAGCTGGTAACGAATCATCTCAGATCGGCCTTTAGTCTCCATATGGTACTTCCTCTGGGCTCCTTCAAAGATCCGTGCCTAACCGACATAGCAACAGAATAGCACTTAATGTACATGTACTTACTTATTCCTTTTAAAATGCTTTTATTCGTAAATTCATTCGCAGCCTGTGAATCGAAGAGCAGAATTTCTTTCTTTTAAAAGAAATTAGGCCTGGCTATTATCACAGACGTAATGTCAAAGCAAAGATACATGTGGTAAGCATGATTATGGTATAGTTATTCAGTAAGAATAGTATAATAACGTCAATTTTAAAAACGTGTCTTACTCGATTGATGAAAATTTGATATAAATAAAATACATGGAAGATGTATTTGATAAGTTTCACGAATTTGGTAATAAGAACAGATTAACGAATAAATCTATTTTTTAGCATATGGGATAACAATAAATTGGTATAAGAAATAACTCTCATTTTATATATCTTCGGGTAGTTCAGGATTTTTGATAAAGTTTTGCAGGCTACATAATATAGAGAAAAAAAAGGAAGAACCACAATTTCCCAAGCCCCCAAAAATCATTATTCTAGAACTTTGCCTACATACCTGTTTATCTAACATACGAATCTCTTCCTTCTCACTGAGACAGAGCGTTTTATACTCGATGTAGTTCTGTAACAGTGTCTTCATGAGCCCTTCGTCAATACCATCCTTGCCACACACTTTAGTGCTGGTAGCGAGACGTAGGTCCATGTCCATTTCTGATCGTTCATCCTTTAATGATTTGATGTGACCACTTTTGTACATGACAAAGAAGAAGAAAAAAAATATTTTGTCCATTTCTGATCGTTCATCCTTTAATGATTTGATGTGACCACTTTTGTACATGACAAAGAAGAAAAAAAAAAATATTTACAGGCAGTTTATCCAGGGGTGACGTCTCTTGCCCCCTACCCCATCTCCTTGACGCTGTCCCTTAATGATTATTAGTTCATTAGACAATAGACTAGACCCCCCCCCCCTTTTTTGGGGGGGGGGGGGCGATACAGTCTTACAATTCATAATCTAATGAGAGATACAAAGCATAACAAAGGAGATCCTTTGCACCACTCTCTGTTTCTTTCTCTGTCTCTTTCTCCGTCTCTTTCTATCTTTCTGTCTTTTTCTCTCTCTCAATATAATGATGTGATGTGAGTCATGTAACCTTAGTCCTTAGTTCACTATCTCAAGCAATGGGTAAGAATCGAAAATCTGATACGAACCTAAAATTACTAAGAGTCGAAATTTTGTATGGAATGGTTGGGTGAAATTATGAAAATATTGACAAAAGATCGGCAAGTTTTGCAGTCTTTTGCGTCCTTTCCGAAAAAATATGATTTTTTTTTTTTAAAGTTGCACCAATAGTAAAGATCTTTGCCGTCCATTTGGTAATACTAGGCCTTGATCTAATTATAATAGACAAGATTCGTGTAAAATATGAGAAATCATTGATCGAATATCACATTTCCTAATATTTTTAAATATCTCCGCGAACTTTGGTCACCCCATTCATAGGTCTAGACCTAGTGGTGTCAGGTGCCAAAAAATAGTTTTAAAATAAAGATGGTAACAACAAATTTATCTTTTTCTTTTCTTTTTCTTTTTTATTTAGTGCTCATACTACACCACCCCCCCCCCCCCACATCGTATCTAACTATGATGAATGTAATCACTAACTTTTGTTTCCGGATGATGTTTTGCGACTCCTCAAGATATGACCTTTTTTGGCCCTTGAGGATGCGATATTCCCGGTGCAGTTTACCCAGCTCCTGCTCGGCCAATACGTAATCCGCCTCAGCATCTCCGTTCATGCTTGGAGTTTCCACTCGACGGCGGTTCATTGATGCAACTGCCGCCATCTTTGCAAATTAATTTAAACGCTGATGATTTTCCCTTTATTTTGCAGATTATTTTCTCAGCATGATTTCGAAAGGTTCATTGATCATTTTTCGCACTCAAATGATCACACTGAAAATTAAGCGCAGTGGGCATTGTTTTTCTGCGCGTAGCTAGTCCACACAAAGAAAGGCGCGCCTTATCACACTGCGCAGTGATATTGTTACGCTGACGCTTACATACGATCTGCAGCTGGAGCCCCAACAAATTTGATGGCGAAATTTCACGTTAATTGTATCATAATGTGAAAGAGGATGTCATTTAAAACACATTTCTGCAAGCATTTTAAAAATAAATGTGTTTGAAGACGAATATTGATAAAAGAATACATAATTTGGGTTTTCTGTTATATACCCAGAAAACCTAAATTTTGTATTCTTTCATCAATATCTTCCTCCAAGTACATTCCCTGACATGCCGCCCATCACAGTTGACGTTGAAGGTGTCAAAAAACTTCTTCTCAATATAAACACAGCCAAAGCAATTGGACCAGACCAAATCCAGAATCAAGCTTTAAAGATCGCAGCAGAGGAGATTGCTCCCATACTACAGTTTATATTTCAGCAGTCATTGGACACCGGAGATCTCCCCCTAGATTGGAGAAAGGCGAATATCACCCCGCTGTTTAAGAAGGGTGCTACTACTGACCCTGCAAACTACCGCCCCATTTCCTTGACGTGCACATGCTGTAAGTTATTAGAGCACATCATAGACAGTAACCTGATGCGACACTTGGCCAAGCATAACATCCTGGCTGGAAATCAACATGCCTTCAGGAAACACAGGTCGTGTGAATCTCAGCTCATCCTTACAACAAATGACCTTGCCAAGAACTTAGACAAAAATATCACCACAGACATGGCAGTGCTTGATTTTTCAAAGGCTTTTGATGTCATCCCGCACCAGCGTCTCCTCATGAAATTAGACTATTATGGTATTCGAGCAAATAATAAGAGATGGATATCTAGTTTCCTGACAAAGAGACTGCAACGTGTCTGTGTAAATGGTCAATGTTCCGAGTGGTTACCAGTCCTCAGTGGCACTCCACAGGGCACAGTATTAGGCCCTCACCTTTTTCTACTCCACATCAATGACATTCATGAAAAGGTTACCAGTACAACACGACTTTTTGCTGATGATTGTTTACTTTACCGTCCCATTAAAACTGCTGAAGATGAGAAAGCTCTTCAACAAGACCTAGATACTATGGTCCAGTGGTCCAAGACTTGGGGCATGCATTTCAATCCCTCTAAATGCAAAACGATGCGTGTTTCCAGAAAGAGAACACCGGGTACTAAATCCTACAAAATCCTTGATGTTACCCTGGAGGAAACGAACCAGACCCTATACCTTGGCATCAATATCCAGAAAGACCTACGCTGGAATAGCCAGACTCATTACACAACCGGCAAAGCCTCAAGGGTCCTTAACTTCCTAAGGCGCAACTTCCATCACTGCTCATCTAATATTAAAGAAAAGTTGTATCTTACTCTTGTTCGTCCACACCTTGACTACGCCACTGCAGCATGGGACCCTTATACAGCCAAAAACATCTATGCTGTCGAGAAAGTTCAACGTCAGGCTGCACGTTTTGTCACCAATAATTACGGATGGGACACCAGTGTTACCAAGCTACTCAACCAACTCAACTGGGGATCTCTTAAAGACAGAAGGGAAGCACACCGCCTTACCTGCCTCTTCAAAATGATCAAGGGACAACTCGACATCGACTACCAATCTCACACCAACCCTAAGCCAGACAGACGTAGACGAGGACACTCCAACCAATTTGAAATTCGCCACACCAACTCGGACGTCTATGCCAACTCATATTTCCCAAGGACTGTAAAGACATGGAATAACCTACAACAAGCAACCATCGACCAAACCTCCCCGCTCTCATTTAAAAATGCAGTTACTAAAGAACTTTTTTCCAAAGTGTAATCTTCCACCCTCCACCACCTCCAGTCAAAACTCTTCTTCGGAGTATTTAGGAGGAAAATAAATCCAAGATCCAAGAATATTTCTATTTGTCTTCAAACACATTTTTTTTTTTTTTTTGGGGGGGGGGGGGGGGGGAGGATTCATTGCAGAAGAACACTTTAGTGGGGCTCATGGTCGAATATTTGTATACGAACAGGAGCAATGAAAATGGACCTACACCTTACTCCAAACTTCTGATTAGTCCAACGATATATCCAGAGAATTCAGTAAGATAAAAAGGGAGGTAGGGAAAGAGAGAGGGAGAGAGAGGGAGAGAGAGAAGAGAGAGAGAGAGAGAGAGAGAGAGAGAGAGGGGAAGAGAGGAAGGGAGAGAGATGGATAGAGAGAGAAAGAGAGGGGGAGATAGAGATAGAGAGATGAAGAGAAATAGAGAGAGAGAGGAAGAGAGAGAGAGAGAGGGTAAGGAAGAGAAAGATAAAGAAAAGTATAGTGCAGCAGACTTTAGAGTGTTTCATCATCTTTATCCTTTTTTGTCTCTTCAATGATTTTAATAAGATGACACATTTAAAAATATTGTTAGTTTGTTGGTTTATTGTCAAATTCTAAGTATTTTAAGTGAGTTTTACCGGCGCTTACGTAATATGCTCTCTTTCTGAAAAGGCATATCTCTCTGCAAAAATGCTCACCTTTGAATCCCACTCTCCGTATTCCTCTCTCATTTGCACATTTACCTTTTTATCTTTTTTTTTGCAAAGTCAATCCAGAGCACGATCAAATGAATCTTAAGAAACCAACCCAAGGCAATTTCAATAACATTGAGCGTTTCATACTAAAATTTGCGAAGGGCGAACGTAACAGCGATATACATGCATTACTTTGCCTGACCATGGTCTCTATTTTAACGGCAATACAATAGTGTATAGAAATTGATTTTTGTTTTGTCCTTGCAATTCTGTTCAAGACGTCTCTCTTTTTCACTCCCTCTCTCTTTGGCTCTTCCATTCCCTTTCTCCCTCTCCCCCTCTCTCTCTTTCACAGCCTTTCTATCCCTTTCTCTTTTTCACTCTGTTTCTCCCCCCCCCTCCCCTCTCTCCCTCTCCCATCACCCTTTTATATTATTCTCATAATTCTTCATAACCTTGTGCATATAGAAGTAGGCTCTTAGCTGAACAATGAATTACTGTTGATAAATATATATTTCAAATATCAATCTATTAAATATCTTCAATACATGAATCCCATTTGACTTTATCAGTGCGTTTTGTCATTGGTTTGTCACTTTGTAACTAAAACAACCTGCTATATATTTCTATCAATTGCTTTATCTTACTTTTGACCTTGTTTTAATTCAGTCCTTCATCTAAAGTATGTTTGAAATAAAAAAAACACAATAGCATTTTAAAACAGATTATTGTTAAATAATAGTACAGTCAAAATAGGAAAAAACCAAGAACTAATTGCAACAGAAATGATTCCACTTGCATATAATCTGGAATAGCCATAAAAACAACATACTCAAAGTTGACAAAAATTGAAGTGGTGGATCAGTGCCTAATTTGCATAAATTCAAAATGGCCGCCATGTCAGACCCTGGTCGACACACAAAACCTATTTTAGCCTATATCTCTAGATCTAAGACACATAGAACGCTAAACGAAGTGTCTTTACCAATGTTTGGGGGGTCAAGAAACATGATAATAGCATTATAAGCAGCTTACAACTACTCCTTCACTCTTAATTTGCATAAATTTGCATATAATTAACCCTTTTAAAAGTCAAAATGGCTGCCATGTTGCATGCTTATAACTATTTCTCATCTAATATTAATAGAAAGTTGATTATAGTGCCCTTCTCCATGTTTAGGGGGTCAAGGAACATGATAATAGCATTATCAGCAGCTTAGAACTACTCCTTGACTCCTAATTTGCATAAATTTGCATATAGTTAACCCCTTTTAAATTCTAAATGGCTGCCATTTTTTCATTTTTAAAACTATATCTCTAGATCTGAGACACATAGAAAGCTAAACGAAGTGTCTTTACCGAAGTTTTGGGGGTCAAGGAACAAGATAATAGCATTATAAGCAGCTTACAACTACTCCTTGACTCCTAATTTGCATAAATTTGCATATAATTAACCCTTTTTAAAGTCAAAATGGCTGCCATGTTGCATGTTTAAAACTTTTTCTCATCTCATACTTATAGAAAGTTGATTTTAGTGCCCTTTTCCATATTTAGGGGGTCAAGGAACATAATTATAGCATTATCAGCAGCTTAGAACTACTCCTTGACTCCTAATTTGCATAAATTTGCATATAGTTAGGCGAGGCGTCAAAAATAAATATACCAGCCAGCGGCAGCTAACTGCACTTGTGCGTCCTGGCTGCATTTTTTAAATTAGCTCAGCCGGCTACCGCTGGCGGTAGGCAATGGCATTCAAAAGCATGCGCCGGCTGCCGCCTTTCGAATGGAAACCGAGCCTCAGATCCCAGCCTGGCGCAAGCCGGCTGGGCTAATAAGTGAAAAATAATTGCCCCAGCCAGGCTTCGGCCAGAATTGCAGCCTCGATGCGCCAATACGTGAGGCGGCAGCCTGCTGGTATCGATATTTTTGACGCCTCGCCTTAACCCCTTTTAAATTCTAAATGGCTGCCATTTTTTCATTTTTAATACTATATCTCTAGATCTGAGACACATAGAAAGTTAAACGAAGTGTCTTTACCGAAGTTTTGGGGGTCAAGGAACATGATTATAGCATTATTAGCAGCTTACAACTACTCCTTGACTCTTTATTTGCATAAATTTGCATATAATAAACCCCTTTTAAATTCTAAATGGCTGCCAAGTTGCATGTTTATAACTATTTCTCATCTAATAGTTATAGAAAGTTGATTTTAGTGCCATTATCCAAGTTTAGGGGGTCAAGGAACATAATTATAGCATTATCAGCAGCTTAGAACTACTCCTTGACTCCTAATTTGCATAAATTTGCATATAGTTAACCCCTTTTAAATTCTAAATGGCTGCCATTTTTTTCATTTTTAAAACTATATCTCTAAATCTGAGACACATAGAAAGCTAAACGAAGTGTCTTTACCGAAGTT